CCATCCATCCATCCATCTACCCATCAATCCATAAATACTCGGGTCTCGTAACCCTATTTCTTAGGACAGTTCATTTTTCATTATTTTCAGTCTATTTACGACACGTTTTGTGAACTGGACGAAGACGAGGTAGGTTACATGCTGGAAGTATCTCGTAGCACAACTCGTTTATTCGACCACATGGCGACATTACTGGCGCATCCTCTGCAACGTCCGAAGCAAAGAGATACCTCTTATGTTCTAACACCAAGAGAAAGTGACGAAAATCAATGAAGAAAAAGGTATTAAAGAGGCTCAGGAAACGGCAAAACKTTTGCGAGCTTCAACTTTGCTGAAGTATATTCCATAATACTCCAGTTTCGAGTTCTCTGTTGCTCAGGRTTAGCCTTGATTTTGAAAATATTTTAAAAATGTAACGGTATTTTACTTCGATAACGCGGGGAGTGGTTGCCCAAATCTCCCGAACCAAGGGCTCATGTTTAATGCGCTCGAAGGTGGGCCCTCTACCCCCTCTTACTATCAGTGCTCCTTTTTACGGGTATTTAAAGCTAATTAAAGCTACACAGAACAGAGAGAAGTCGAAACAGACGTGGAGTTCCTGAGGATCGAACTACATACCTCTAGCTCCGAAGGCCGCGCACTAACCAACTGAGCTACGCCTGCTCCTCATTCACGTGTTCCAGTGAAGGTCCGTGGAATTTCAAAGTACTTGTAATGTTTTAGTTGTGCGTTCTTTACTCAGGGTTCGTGCTACTCCTTGAAATCCTTGAAAAGTCCTTGAATTGAAAACACGTTTTCAAGTGGCGCTTGAAAAGCCCTTGAAAATAGGGRAAAACTCCTGGAATACTCCTTGAATTTAATGCAAACTTAATGTTATTTCTAACTTACCTTTTAAAATAAATAACGATTAAAATTGATTGAAGAGTTTCTGGTTCCTTGTTTACTGGTTGGTTGCGTGTCATGCTCGTTTTTTATTGGTGGACGTGGCCCCGGCTGAATTAGCTGCACTTTAACATTGAATCAATGTTTAAAACCACGTTCTAATACAAAAAACTTTGTCCTTGAAAATTGAATTTTTGTGCTTGAAAAGTGCTAAAATAGTCCTTGAATTTTGTAACGAGAATGTAGCACGAACCCTGTTTACTTTACCGTTGGTATTTGTGAATATTTAGACGTTAATACGAGGCTAGCCTGAGTAAATGAGTCTGTAATCAAGAAACACAGCGGTAATTTGGAACTCGAAAATGGTCTATTTGGAATCAAGGGTGGTGTAGTGGTAGGGAACTCGCCTGTCGCCTCTGGGTCAGTCTAGGGTTTAATTCCTGGACTCGGCATCACATGTGAGTAGAGTTTGTTAGGTCTCTCCCTTGAATCGAGGATTTGTCTCCGGGTTCTCTGGATTAACCCTCCTTCACAAAACCGAGCCTTTGTATGCCATAGGATGCGAGGCAGAACATTTTGTAAAACTGATATCTAGTTTTGTAATCATTTGTACGATGGATTTTACACTAAAAGCTTTATCTAAAAAGATATGATTTTCTTTCCCTGGGAAAGAAATTATGATGTTGTTTTTGCAGTCCAAATGAYAGTCATCACTCGTAAAAAAATAGTTACTAGAATTTGGATTCGTTTTTGAAAAAATTCATTAAAAGATTCATTAATAGATTTGTGTCCTTTGAATTTGTAATTTTTGAATATTTTGTYAATAAAACGAAACTTTGTACACAAAAAGTCAAAAGCAGCAAAGACATTCTTGGACACATGGTGCAACAGTTGCTGAAGTAGGATAGTTTTCTACTTTAGCAGCGTTGCGTGCAACAAATTGCGTCGTGTGTCATKKCTCGCAACATCAATTACATGCAATATTGCGCTCAATGTTGCACCATGTGTCCGTAGCTTTCTCCTCGTAGGCAACTTTTACTACGGATTTCTTTTATTCGTAGGCTGTATTTAACTTTACAAACTTGACGTGCACTAATTTAAAGCCTTGTTCCGACTTTTAATCCCCTAAAAGATGTGTACTGAACATATTTACCTTATTTAATTCCATATTGTAAAAGCGGTTTTTGACAGAAGATTAACTTTGATGTTATGATACATAGGTCATCTACGTTTTCTCACGTCTCTTTATGCTAAAAAATAGTTCGTTCTCGTTATAGAATCTTAATCTTATCTGTTCTGTTAAATTCGAGAAGGCACTTCTGATACTTTAAGATCAAACTCTGAAAACCTTAAATCATAATTTTGAACTTATAAAGCGTTGAACTACGTTGAAAACAAATGAAGACGAAGAAAGGAATGGTTTTGTTGTTCAAGTGATAAGTTGTTTTTATGAAWTTAAAAGAAATTTTTCTCAAATGAAAAGAATTTTTTCAAAGATATTGTAGGAGCTACGAAATTCAAAGTAAAACGAAAAAAGTATTCAAATTTTAGTGTACGTTTTTCGCTCTTTTATCGTGCACGGAAGCCATTGCATGTATTATTTCCTTGTTTACATTCGAGTTTCATCTGGTAATTTAATTAAATTTTGACATTTTATAAACAAATTCGAGTGTAGAATAAAGAGAATAAAAAAATATGCGAACGAGAAAGTTTTCAAACTATTTTTTGGCGAAAGAAACCTAGCTTTTGGCAAAAAAGGAAAAAAAAATTCATTAAAGACATGAGAAGAAAGCAACAATTATTAAGGAACAAAATTTTGTACTTCTTAGTGTGGRATGTTTTGTATTTTATTTGAACGTTATTGACTTTGCAATCACTTTATTGACAACCTAACACTCAATTAACTTGATAATGATCCCCAGGAGCGTATTTATTGGAGGTCCTGTTCCTTTTCAGAAGTTCAAGAACGCTTTGTATTGTAGTTGGACTTCCCTTTGAGGTGTCGAGATTGAATCACCACTTTGAAGGCGCGAAAATCTCTTTACGTAAAGCTAATTTWGCATAAAACCATTTCAATACAAAGACTATAAGCAGACAAGCTGATTTATTCTTCTCAAMAACGGATTATGGATCGAAAACAAATTATCGAGAAACAGAAAGCTCTTGGAAGTATTTGTCAAAGCAAGACGGGCGACGCCATTTTGAGAAARAATGTCTTCGAGACGAGGGTTTTGAGAACAAGGTTGTCGGAGCTTGAAACAGAAGAACGAAGATGGAAGACAAATTATTCGTTTGAGGTTAGAGAGGCGAAAAAAGAGGCCCGTACTCGARAAATTGCTAAGCATCGGTCGTTTCGAGAAGTTGCTGGAGTGGCGTTCGCTGCAAACAAGTTTAAAAATCTTTTAACTACGACTCAAAGAATTGGTAACCATGTTGATGGCATACAAGRACCTAAAGAAGCTGATGTCGTAGATGACAAGCCTAAAGAACCTGTYCAGCAAAGTATTGAAGAAGGAAAGCTAACGAAAGCGAAAAAAGAACAGCAAAAGACAGCCCAAAACAAGGATGAATCGCATACTGCAAGCACAATCAACATTACTTCCAGTGATAACACCAAAACTCCACTTAAATTTTCCTACTCGCTCCCAGAAAAAACACAGCATTTTTCAAGCCCTTTATTTACACGTCGAAGAGGTGATACTTTCACTGGAAGGTCATTCAAAACTACTGATTTGCCGAAGAARATCAAGAGTGGAATTTTCACACATGGAATAAGAGGGAATAAAGTTTGCACTCGCATCTGCAGCCCGCCGTTGTYAGAGAACGCTTCCTTGACGAAATTGCCAATGCTCGATAAGCGGTTCTTGGAACTGGRAGCAGTTTTGGTGCCTATGAATCAAAATGAAGAAGGCACGAGTGAGAACGAAGAAGAAGAAGACGACGATGACGACAGAGAATCTTTGAATGGCGTGTCGTGGAGAAGTGGATCTTCAATGTCATAAGCATTTTGTAGTACATTTTATGCCGCGAGGAGAAGAAGGAAAAAGAAGAAGAAGATGATAAACTAATTAGAAAGATTATGATGATGATGAAGTTGATGATGATGATGATTATGGAGATGGCAACGCATGTTGGTACAAAAAAAGAAGATGATACTAACTAAAAAGATGATGATGATGAAGAAGATGATTATGATGATGATAATGGGGATGGCAACGGATGGTGGTACAAAAAAGAAGATAATACTAACTAAAAAGATGATGATGATGATGAAGATGATTATGATGATGATTGTGGCGATGGCAACGCATGTTGGTACAAAAAAAGAAGATGATACTAACTAAAAAGATGATGATGATGAAGAAGATGAAAATTAAAATCRAAATTATGATGGACACTATGTTGATAAAGATGATGAACATAATAAATACCGATGATGCGATRAATTCTATCGTTTTAATTAAGTCATTATGTGACGTCGAGGGGGCAACCATTGGAACATTTATAGACTGTACCGCTGTCAGAATRTCTTTTTATATAACTTTACGCTTTTCAATCAGAAGCACWTCAAAGAACCAAATGAATTTGCTGGTAGTTGGAACAATATTGGAAACGCCAAGACTTGTTTGAAAACGTAACTCCGCCACTCTGTGCTCTATAAATTGTCTCCGTTTGACCCCCTCGGCGTTCCAAAATTCAAGATKGCCGCCGTATGATGATTACAAGAATGCCAATTATGATGATGATGATGAACGGTGATAATGATTGTGAGGTTGTTGTTGATGAACTTGTGATGACAATTCTGGCTAACAAAATAAGCATATGTATATATAATAAATCTCAGAAGAAGTTAAGATATTGTTGTTTTATTTTATTGTTAAGTCAAGCAAAATGGCAGCTGTGACGTAACAACATGGCG